GCCTTGCGGGAGGTCCTGACACCCCCCGAGCCGCCGCCAGGGGCCAGCAGCGAGGCGCCCCTCCTGAGGGCGGCTCGTGGGTGCTGCGCCGGGACGGCTGCGGGGCACGTTTCCCGAGGCGGCTGGTTCCCTCTGCGCGCCCGGTGGCCGGGCGGGCTCTTTGTTCCCCACTGCGGTGCGGGGTCCCGGCCGCTCCGGGGCATAAACGGGTGGGAGGTCGCGGGGACGGCACCCAGCCCGTGGCCACCTAGTTCCTCCTGTGCTGTGAAGAACACCCTCTAGACACCGTGGCTCCCTTTGAAGCCAGTATTGACTGGGGAGACGTGTCCTTTAGTGTTTAAGTAACTGATTCCACTTGCTTCCGTTTTTATCAGGGCGGGATTAACTGGGGGAGGGGGAGGCTTTTTATAAAACAAGGTGCCCTTTCCACGACTGATAAACAGGGAGGGGAGCTTCAGTTTTCTAATTCTGAAAGTTACTGGTATCGACTACAGATGCATTGTTATTCCTCCCTGCCCCCAATACCTACTTTCCACAATTGCATTTTGTCTAAAACATCCTACCAGTTACTCTTTATGAAGATTGATATGAGCTATATGACTTTATAAAATACAAATACAAATGCCCCCTTGTTAAACTACATTGTCAGCATGTTAGCTAATGATGGTGTTTGGGGAAAACTATAGACTGTTTAGAAATATTAGCTTCCATTTATGAAAGATTCCCAGATAAAAGCTGGTCTCCTGTTGCACGAATAGATATTTTTATTTTCTCTTAAATGACAGAATTGCTGGCCACCTGTATTATCTGGGGGGATCAGCCCTTGCATCATCATTGAAACACCCCACAAAGAGATAGGAACAAGCGACTTCTCCAGATTTACAAATTACAGATTTAAAAACCTTTTTATTAATCCTTCACCTCTGCCTGATTTAAGGTAAGAAAAATTTCAGTAACTTAATATCAGATCGAAATTGTACTGATTTCATAGATGGCACTACTTTATTTTTTGCCTTCATTATAAGATAAACTTGTAAAAATGCTTTTTTTTTTTTTACTGATATTTAAGCATATATAATCTGACTAGTGTTATTTGCAAATGGTAGGGGACTTTAAAACATTGATTCTATGAAGTTATTTGCTTGCTGAGCACTGTAGCCTTATCAGAAGAACTGAATCACCTTTTCAATGGCATTTAAATAAGTTATCTAAATGGTTAAGATGGAAGCATTTTAACAGGTACAGCATTATCATTTGGCATACCCATCCCATTTACTTCTTTCCAAGCTTAGTAAGGTCTATACTTTTTTCTAGTTAATGAATAGGACTAGGAAGTAAAGCTTATACAAAACATCTAGTGTAGTAACTTATATTTGGCTTTAATAAGCAAATTAATGGACTCAGACATTTAAACTTACCAATCCTCCTCTTCCCCCCTACTCTGTCCGACGTTATCTCCACTGTAGGTGACTCTACTATTGGTAACCTATTTGGAGGTGATTGAGACTTATCTCTACTGGGATCATGTGCTTTATTTACTTTAGTGTTGCTCTTGAGAAAACATGGTTATCTTAAACAGGAATCTTATACATTATAAATAAATGGGGACAAAAAGCACTTGAAATCTTTCAAATGAGATTATCATAATCCAAGTTTTTACTGTATAATTTCAGGCTTTTGCTTTTTCATGCTAAAGAAGCAGTCTCTAGAAGTTAAGGTAGTAGTTTTGTCCTAACTTACTTTAAGAGCTTCTCCCAAGTTCTGAAAGTTGGATTTCAGTGTCTTAAAGTTGAGTTTTTTCCTATGTAAAACAGAGAGCTTGTACATTACGTAGACCACAAAATTATTTCTTGTTACCCTCTTTCCATAGCTGGGGATGTTCAAACGATGTTTGGCTAAACATGTTAAAGAAAGAGTCCCGATATGTTCATGACAAACATTTTGAAGTTTTGCATTCTGACTTGGAACCACAGATGCGTTCGATACTTCTAGACTGGCTTTTAGAGGTATGTCCCAACAATGCAGATTTCCCGTCTCTATGTGGTGGAAGATGCTTAGACATAAATGTGCTTTTCATGTGCCCTCATGGTATATATCATCCATTGTCAGCAGCCATCTTTTCGGAGGGGGGGTTTACTTACTGTAGTTGATGGTACCAAAATGGAAAATGACTGTCTATAAGAGAAAAACCATGAGGACACAGACACTACATCTCACACATCCCAACCCCAATTCAGAATTCTTGGTGCTGGGGTATTGCTGTGTACCAGACATGGTTCTAGAGCTGCGACTACTCAAAATGAGTAGAATATATAGTTGACAAGGTTTTGAATTATGTGCAAAGTGAAAGAACCAGGACTAGGCTTCATTTCCTTCAAAAGTCCTTTTCTGTATCACCAAAACCAAATTATTGTTTGTAATCCTGATTTCTATGTCCTAAATAATAAGGGGGCTTTGAATATCCAGAGGCCCTGGCCCTCTAGGCTCCATGTAGCTTCCCTTTATTACATACCTCTGTTCCTTTCAGAAACACGCTGTACCATTAGTCTGAAGGAGTGATCCTGAAGTCCCTACAGATGTGTTCCAGACTTTCTTGCTTAAGCCCGTTCCCTGTTATTGAGGAAGTGATTACTTACATTGCAGACAGACAAACTGATTTTTGCTCTGTAGTTTCCCTGTCTCTAAGGTAGATAGAAATGGTAGATTCTAAGGGAGAGAAACTATAGAGCCTTTTTGGTGGAGTAACACACAGGAGAGTAGATCTGCCAGGAGCTATTCAGAAAAGTCTTCGAGACTATAAAGTGTTCTTTTGAGTCAGGTCATCTTAATTCCTTATTCTGACTAGAAAGGAAGATGGTATTTCAATCATGTGGTTATAAGAAGGTAGTGGGGTTTTGATTTTTTCTAAGTGTCCAGTGATCATGGAAGCAATTTAAGCACAATTATGTTTATTTTACTTTATTTTCCTATTTATGTTAATTTTTATCTAGTGGCTGTCAAATTTATTCCTATTTTCCCTTAAATATATGATTATATATGCAAAACATTAAGTCCATGTGAAAAAAACTGTAAAATAAGAGTGAGGAAGTATTAGATTCATCCTACTAGCTTATCCTGTTAGTGCATACTATTATGTTTTCCCCCAGTCTTAACTTTGGTATCCTAAAAAGCAAAGTTGGGTTTACAAAAGTATTGTAAAGTCTACTATGCTAAGGTTTAATTTGGAGAAATTCATGGAATATTTAAATCTTGGGGTTCTTGTCTAGGTATGTGAAGTATACACACTCCACAGGGAAACATTTTACCTTGCGCAAGACTTTTTTGATAGATTTATGTTGACACAAAAGGATATAAATAAAAATATGCTTCAACTCATTGGAATTACCTCACTCTTCATTGCTTCCAAACTTGAGGTAAGTGCTCAAAGTTTATCCAGAGACATATTTACCCACCCAGTTTTTAAAATCAACACATTAATTCCAGAAATTCTACTATTTTGATACTAACTCCTTAGGAAAGATGAGTGGTTTTTTCCATTACACTTTCTGAACATTATGATTTGGATACAAGAATAAATATTATAGTTCCCTTTTAGAATCTAAGTCTGTATTATAAGTCTCTGGTTTAAATTCTGGAATTAGTATCTAGGTCAAATGTTCCATGGCTCATTCTGTCCAACAGAATATACTGATGCTGTCCCTGTATACATAATTATGGTGCTTGGAGTCAATAGAATGGTCCTTGAAAACTGATTAACCAATCAAATGAAATAAATGCTTTTTTGAGTTAGAATAATGATCTATATCCAGCCTAATACCATTTAAAAAATATTTATTTTAGAGAAGAAGGGAAAGGGATAGAAACATTGATCCGATGCCTCCGCCTTCCCCCTGCTGGGGAATCAAGCAGCAACATGGGCGTGTGCCCTGACAGAGAAATGAACCTGTGACCTCTTGGTTCATGGGTCAGCGCTCAACCACTGAGCAACACTGGCTGGGCCAGCCTAGTATTTTTGTATCTGACAGTTGTGCCAGGATAGAAGGCAACTCCTTTCCTGCTTGAGATTTTCCTTCACACAATCTCAATATACTTAATGCATTATGAATATCATTAGTACCTTCCTCTGAAATTTCTAAAGCCTGCATGTGGAGGGTAGGAGGACTGAATCATGCATTGACTTCCTTAAATATATTATTTTTCTTCCAAATTTACCTTTTGAGCTTTAAGATCCCCAAATTCTGCCAAATTTGGTGAATAAGTTTGTATGCAGTCTATTCTTACCTAAAACCATGCTCTCGCTCTCTCTTGACCGAAATCTTGGTCCTTAGCCTGTTCTCATCTGTGGCAGGCATCTCTTCTGCTCCTTTGATCACCCTAGTTCTTCTTGGGACTGTTAAAGCAGACCCATCATCAGCCAAACTGCACAGAAGTATTTTGTGATAAACTGTACTTTTGTATTAACATAAAGGAAAATTTTTCAGTTTCTAGAACTTACTGGTTGAGTGTTTTGTTTTGTTCTGACCAACATGTTAGGCAATCTTAAAACAAGACTGGCTTTTAACTGAAATGACTGGTTAAAATACTGATGTTGATTATAGCTACAACTCAAGATCAATTCTATGGAAGTAAGTCTCAGTCAATATAATAGGCCAATTTAGACCGAGATATGAAAAATACCTTTAAATGTAAGTTTGCTTTGGCTATTGTAGAATTATTTTACTAAGATTTATTTCACTTTGTGAAGCTGTCCTTAAAAATGAAGTCTGTAGGTGGTTTGTATATAATTCTTTTGTTCATCTCAGTCTCAATTGTGTATAATACTGATTTAAATATCCATTTTAAAGGAAATCTACGCTCCTAAGATCCAAGAGTTTGCCTATGTCACGGATGGTGCTTGCAGTGAAGAGGACATCTTAAAGATGGAACTCATCATATTAAAGGTAATAAATAATAATTGTATCTTTACTATTCTAGTTGCAATTTAATAGCAGTAATTATTACTGAATCTCAAAGACTACAATGTAAGAAATCAAAACTGAGGTTTTTAGTATTAGGATTGTTCTAAGAGACTAATGCAAAATGTTGACAGTGTTATGGATAGAAGAGGAATTTACTTAACCTATAAACTCTTATTTGTATCTTTCAAGTTTCTATATTGCGAATATACTACTTTAATTTAAAAGTGGTTAAAGACAACACTTTCAAAACATATAGGTAGGTAGTAGTTAGCATATAATGTACATATAAATGAATTCCAATGATTCTCAGATCTTAGTCATTTTCCCTATCTTCCAGCAGACAGAGAATGAGAATGATTTCACTGGCTTTTTTCTATATGCAGAGAAAGGGCTATTAATAGAAAAGTGGAGGAGAGACATAAAAGTCTTTAATCAGGCCTTCAATGAGAGATTAAAGAGTGAATGTAAGCTACTAGAAAGTATGTTATTAAATTTGGACTTCATGGTTTATTAATAGAACATACAAGAAAACCCAATCAATATGACTTTCATTTATAAATTATCTATAAACTACATTATAATATACATTATAAATGTATAGAGTTATATTTACAAACTGTAAACATGCAGATAGCTCTGTTAGAATGGTATCTTGTTGGCATGTTGATATTATTCTAATAAAATTATCCAGGTTCAGCCCTGTAGTACAGGAGGGTGTCCAAGGAGATGGCATTCTCTGGGCAGTTCTACGGGCGTTAAGACCCTCTGTTCTCTACTAATTATTTTGGACTTCTTATAAATGGTAAAGTCCCAGGGCTTCATGGAGGGAAAGATGTCATTGGAGATTACAGAAATAAAGAAAAAGTCTAGGATCAGTTCTTATACGATCTGAATGGAATTAGTTGTGGAGTCACTGAATACAATTAAAAGAGTAGTTTTAATGAAGAGAACAGATTTGGAAGACCATGGGCTGCAGGAAACAAAAAAAGTAGTAATGAGTAACAGGCTGAATGAACTTTGTAAATAAAGACAACTAGAGAATAAGGGATCTATGTCAATAATAGCGTAAAAAACAAGCAACTTTAGATTGTGAGGTACCTATAAATATATTGAATAAAAAGAAAAGGGGTCAGAATAAAAAAACTCCTAGGAAGAAACAAGACTAAAAGCAGAAAGTTTCTTAAATGAGTAGTTAAGAAAGTAGCTATATAGTGTGGTGTCTGTGTACCTACATGTATTAAGAGGCATCTTAATTTCATTTAACAGGCTTTAAAATGGGAACTTTGTCCTGTAACAATCATCTCCTGGCTAAATCTCTTCCTCCAAGTTGATGCTCTTAAAGATGCTCCTAAAGTTCTTCTACCTCAGTATTCTCAGGAAAAGTTCATCCAGATAGCTCAGGTATTGGCATCATTATTAACTACAGGTTCTGTTTAGTATTGGCTTTTTTAAATTGATTGATTTGAGAGAAACATTGATATGTTGTTCCACCCATCCATGCTTTCCCTGGTTGCCTCCTGCACGTGCCCCAACCAGGATCGAACCCACAACCCTGGAACATTGGGACGACACACCAACCGAGCCACTCTTTAAAAACCAGGGCCTTAAAATAAATACTTCTTTTTGATATAAAATGGGGAAAGATTTTTAAGCCAGTTCTCTCCAGGCTTTATAATGGTATGAAATTATTCTATATGATTATCTTACTCTTATATTTGAATACACCGGGTACCTATTTTACATTTTAGAATGAAAATCACCTTAGTTATTTATATTTTTAAAAAATTTAAGTTCAAACTAAAGGTTCCTAGGCCAGCATATAAGAGATGGTCTAAGAAAGTAAAAGTGGGTATAGTTCTTTCCTGTCTGCTTCTCATAGTATCTTAAGGCTGCTCTGCCTATATACGTGAAGAAAGATCTACATTCTTATTCTATGTAGGATGTGAAAATCTAGCAAATGCACTGTGAACACTAAAACTGGATAACCAGTAAATATATTGGAATTGGTTCATTTTGTAAAACTTTTAAATAAAGGCTTAATATTTTGACAGAATTCCCAGCATCCCAGGTTATCGTAAGCGGCATATACGCCCTTTTGATAGAGGGCAGAGTTTTGATAAGCTGATAAACAATATAGAAACCATTTGTAGAGGCATATAATTAACTTCCAGTTTTTCTCATTTTTTCTACCTGCTGGGTCAGTGGAGCACGCATAATCTAAATTTTATTCCCCTGGACCGGTGTCACCTCAGGCCTCTGAAATGTAGCCCTTACATCTTTTATTGATTGGATTATACTGCCCCTTAAAGAATCTCACTATTTAGAAACATGTTTTCTTGTGTATCTGCTTCACCACAGTCTAACAGATGGTTCTTAAATTTTTTTTTCTTTAATATAGCTTTATTGATTTCAGAGAGTAAAGGAGAGGGAGAGAGAGAGAGAGAGAGAGAGAAAAACGTCAATGATGAGAGTCATTGATCAAGCCCGCAAACTGGGCATGTGCCCTGACCGGGAATCGAACCCCAATTGCCTGGATCCTAGGTCGACGCTCAATCACTGAGCCACGCCCGGCCGGGCTTAAATGTAACTTCCTCGATTTAAAATCTTCTAGTAGTTTCAGTGATCAGAACTCTGAAAGTTCTGGCCTCTTAAAGACCCTTTATCATCTAATCTGGGTTATGCCTCTGCAGCTACCCCCACCCCTTTTCTTAAAAAAGGAATAAAGTTACTCCTTACTTAATTCAGACCACTATCGTAAAAAATGTTGAGTTCCAAGGGAAAGTACTACTTTATCTTTGCAAACGCTGTTTTCTACACCTAAACACTACCTCCCAACCTTCCCGGCTACCTTGGAAGTCCTCCCTCTTCCCCACTCCGGTTGAGGTGTCCTTCCGACTCATACCCGTCACACTGCAACAGTCCTGTTTGTTCACCTTCTGACCTACAGTCCCAAGGCTCCACTTCCATCAGGGCGGTGGCTTATCTACCTTTGGAACCCTCTAGTTTGAGCAGTTCTTGGCATGTGGTCCATATCACAAACACTCCAGAACGTTAGCTGACTGGTATTTACTAGCGACATGTAGTACCTTTCCTTCTCCTAAATACTTGTCATTTTGCTTGTCAAGCTCTTAGATCTGTGTATTCTAGCCACTGACTCGTTAGAGTTCCAGTACAGAGTCCTGGCGGCCGCTGCCTTGTGCCATTTTACCTCTGTTGAAGTTGTTAAGAAAGCCTCAGGTAAGGCACTATTTTACCTTCTGATCTGTTCACAACTTTTAAAAAGACTATTAATTTATGAACTTGAGCATGCTGCTAAACAGGAATTTAGAATTTTTATGGAAAACATTTATAGCAGTGTAGTGATTACCTTACCTTCCTTTCTGCTAGTTCTCTAATCTGCAATGTGTATCCATCAACAAAAAATAAGGTCAAATGGAATTAAATCCATTTGAAGTTAATCAACATGATTATAGTTCTGCTTTAAGAGTTCTTTGGGTTTGACAACTTTAATTTCACTTGTAGAAGGTACTGGTTAAGAAGCTCTAAGTCTTTTTTCCCCCTCAGTCACATTATATAGTTTGCGAGTCATAATCTGTTTTGACTTGCTAAAACTTGTTTTTTGGTTCTTTTTAAAATGAGTTTTAAAATAGCTATTCTTAAATTTGGAAGGAACAAATTCATCAGGCATATGTTAGGTATTTTCTGATGTAACCTTTACATGTTGCTAACTTTTCTCTGCCTAGGTTTGGAATGGGACAGCATTTCTGAATGTGTAGATTGGATGGTGCCTTTTGTCAGTGTAGTAAAAAGTTCTAGTCCAGTGAAGCTGAAGATGTTTAAGAAGATTCCTATGGAAGACAGACACAATATCCAGACACATACAAATTACCTGACTATGTTGGTATGTTCCTTGTGGAGTTTTTGGGTCTACTAGTAAGTCACTGAAATGGATAGTAGGATGCTACAGAGTAAGGGGATAGAAAGTTCTAATGGGCATAATGATTTCAGAATGTAGAAAAGTTAGTAACTCTGAAGTCAAAGCAAGATTTGTGAAGTTTTTTAAGGTTAATGCCAGTAGTCTAGGTTGAGTTTTAAAAAATACCTCTAGAATGTGACAACCATTATACTAGGCCTAAGTAGCCTCAAGTTAGTATCCAAAAGTCTGGTTTATTTACTGTCAACGCGTTAACTCTTAGCTGTTAATCTCTGCATGATTTCTTCACGTGTAGGATGAAGTCAATTACGTAAACGCCTTCAGGAAGGGGGGACAGCTGTCACCAGTGTGCAACGGAGGCATCATGACACCACCAAAGAGCACTGAAAAACCACCAGGAAAACACTAAAGACGTTAACTAAGCAGACAAGTGCTGAGTTTTGGGTAGAATTTCATTGAAATGAACTACTAAAGTTTTACAGGAAAATAATTGCTATGACTGTCCTAGCCAATTCAGAAGTTTCAATGCCATTCTTTGATTTTAAAAAAACACTTAAAATTGGCACTAAGAAATTTATTTCATTCCTATGTCAGCTGTTTGAAGAAACAGCAGGACTTGTTTACAAGGATGAATTCATTCCCCAGGTGACTGGATAGAAGGCAGCCACGATTTATCCATGTTTGGACCCAGTGTTACCATGTTGATCTTGATGAAATTTTATCATTAGTCTCAAGACTAGATAAGTGCTACCTTAAAGGGTACAGTAAGGGATACAGTCCTTGGAATCTAGTTCTTAGATTCTAAAAATTCATATACTATTGCTTAGTGCAATTTGGTTCTTGAAAATGAAATTTAAACTTGTTTACAAAGGTTTCATTTTGTAATAAGGTGACTAATTTATCTACAGCTGCTGTAGCAAGCTGTTATAAAACTTGAATATTTACAAATGGTGAACTTTAAAATGTTTTTTAACTAGTTTGTTTGCGTTTCCATACATAACACTTTTAACCAGTAAGGCTTAGAAAAAGATGGTGTTTAAAACTGTGCTCTAAACAGTGGGAATACCAAAGAAAATTCTAAACAACATAAAGCTGTGGCTCCTACTTGGGGCTTTGCCATACAGGTTGCTTTATATTTGAAAAAACTTAAGTACCCTTTAAAACTATTTATATGAGAAAGTCACTTTATTACTCTAAGGTATCCCTAAGGACTTTTCTTTTTAATTAGTGTGACTAAGGCTTTATTTATGTTAGAAAACTGTCAAGGTCCTTTTTAAATTCCTACATGAGTTAAGGACAGTGTCAAGTGGAAGCTTAGCACCTGACCTAGACTTCTATTAGGGCAAAAAAGTATTAAATGTATACTAGCTCCCAGCAATCTATTTATTTAAAAAACAAAAACAAGGTAAACTTCACAAGAACTTGGTATATATAGACTAATTCTACAAAATGGTTTTCAATGAAACTTTTGCCTCAGAAAACAAATTATACTACATTGTTAGTTTATTCTGTTACTAGATGTGTGAATCTTGTCTTCGAAGAAATTATAAATTTAAGCTATTATGGCATGAACTCTTCTGTATAGTTTTTGTTTTAAACTGTTTCAGTATTTTGTCTGAAAAGAAAACACCACTAAATGTGTACATATGTATTATATATAAACTTCATCTTTTAATACTGTTTATATTTTGCCTATTGTTTAAAAAATAAAAGTTAAAAAAATTTAACTGCTTAGAAGTAAAGTTTTGCCATTGCTTGTAGAAACTTTTTCTTCCTTCTCTGCGCTGCCAGCTGTAACACTTCTTCTGGGTTGCTCGCGTTCAATTCAGTCTGGCCGATGGCTTTGATCTTCCAAAACAGAAAAGTGATGTTACTAGAGGTCTGGTAAAAAATACAGCCTTGCTAATCTATACGCATTATAAAACTATTTACATGCTAAGAGGCGGAAGAAGTGAACACAAAGACTGACTGCAGCCACTCTTAAAGAAAAGATTAATTGCTGAACCACAGTTTATGGAATTAATCTTCAGTAACATTAAGTTTATTTGACTAAAATACCAGTAACTTACATGTAATTTGACAATGACATTTTTACAGTTAAATTAAGCCTTCTATAAGATAGTTTGAAAAAAAAATCAAAATTCATGTTTCAGGACTTACTTTTTAATGTGCAAAAATAGCTCGATGCCTGGCGCTGTATCATACAGTGACTCATTTTTTCCATGATTAGAAATACTCAGCCTACTAAAAACCCATGGAGTGTTTTGTGACACCATTTTTTAGGACCTTGGAATTACTTTTAGATTTTAAAAAAGTTATAACTTCTTTAAATAACAAAGACTATTCTGACAGGTAGCTTGAAGGGAGAAAAGACTATTCAGAAGTGATCTTCAGTTAGGTTAGGGAGTAGGAAGAACTGGATGGCGTCGTTCAATATGAAGGAACCCGTGGGAGAACCTGGTAGTGGGGTATAACTAGTTACTTCAAGCAAAGTATCCTGAAGACTGGCTATCAAAGTGTGACGTACGAAACAAGTGGGAAGAGGAGCCAATTATTTAAGAGAAAGGACACATGCTTTGTGGGTAAGGGGGCAAAACCGTGACGGCTGAGACTGCCTGTAGGGCAACTGGGAAATAACCAGGTGTAAGGGGGAGACAGAGGAAGATACCAGCAAAGACAAGACAACTGGAAAAAGAATAAAAGTGATGTCAGAGAAGGAAGAAAGAATTTCCAGCCCGGCCGGCGTGGCTCAGCTGCTGAGCATCGACCCGAGCTGGGAGGTCGCGGTTCGATTCCCGGTCAGGGCCCAGGCCCAGGCCGCGGGCTTGATCCCCATTGGGGAGCATGTGGGAGGCAACTGATCAATGACTCATTATTGATGTTTCTCTCTCTGAAACCAAAAAAATATTTTTTAAAAATTTTTTTCCAGAAGGACTTTATAAAAATTAAACACTAATACCAAATTTCAGAAGTAAATAGGTACAATTCTTAATGGTTTGAATGTTAAGGGAATTAAGCATATTACTGTAGCAAGACACAAAATAACTTACCGCAATTTGCCTTTTATCTGTTTCTCCTCTTTTATGATGCAGATCTAAATGAATCAGTTAAGAAGAAGAATAAATTTAATACTATTAAATGTCATAATAGAATCTCAACTGTTCTCTGGGTTTGGTTTAGAAAACACAATATTAAATACTTCTTTAATTTACAGAAATGAACTGTTCTATCACATGTGTATTAGATGAAAGGATACAAGTCAAGTATTCCAAAATGGTAACATCCCATATGTAGTCATAGTAGGAGTCCATGGCATCATGGCTGAAAAACAGAATTCAGTTAGTTCTTCTTTCTTAAGCAGAAAAATCGCTATTTTATTTTATTTTAAAAATCCTTCGTACCTGTTTTGTTCCTGCAGTGATTTAAACGCCGTTTTGTAGTCAATTTCTCTGAGGAACTGACATAAAATTGCCACCTACGTGAACAAACAAGGATTTGAAAATAGTTTCATGCACCTAGTGTGAACAATGACTCTGCTGGTTGTGGAGGAGAAACTTTTAATAATTCTTATATCAAGAAAATATCACTTAAGAGGCCTTACAGATCACCCTGAGCATATCAGCTCGTCTTGATAGATCCCATCAGATTTTTATTGCAAACACCTTTACACAAATGACTGTCTGCCCAATATTTTCCTCATTAGTAATCTAAAGTTTTTAAAGTTTCATTTATTTGAATGAGGTGGCAAAAAGCCAGTTCAGAAAATGAAGGGAATGGAAAACTGCTGAACCCAAGTGTCATGGCAAGTGTCATGGCACTCAAGGACACACAGAGCATGCTCAACCCTTTCACAGCCGGCAAATACAGCAGCTCATTTTGACAAAATTTAGGCTGCCAGTCTGCTTAACAAAGAACGCAGACCCATGTCAATCAGGTGTGAAGGTCATAATGCTTATTTCTTTTAAAGTTATTTTTAATTACTAAAAACATACCATAAAATTCGCCCTTTGAGAGGGCACAGTTCAGTGGTTTTAAGTATATTCACAAAGTTGTGCAACCATCACAACTAATTCCAAAATCTTCCCTTCCCATCGCCTACCCCTGCAAAAACTCCGCACCCACTGACATCTCTCCTCGTCCTCCCACTCCTCCCCCGCAGTCTCCGGCAAGCACGACTCGCCATTCTGACTACAGATCTGCCTGTGCCGGACATTTCAAATTCATGGAATCACACGAGCACTTTACAGCTGGCTTTCACTCAACATAATACTTGTAAGATTCATCCCTGTTTTAAGCATGTATCAGTACTCATTCCTTTTCATGGCTGAATAGTCGTCTACTGTACAGATACATCAAATTTTGTTTATCCCTTCATCAGCTGATAAGCACCGGGTTGTTTCCAGTTTCTGGCTATTTGTGCATAATGCTGCCGTGAACAGGCATCTACAATTCTTCTGGACAAACGTTTTCTATTTTCTTGGTTATATACATAGGAATGGGACTGCTGGGTAATATGGTAATTCTATCTTTAACTTTTTGAGGAAATACCAAACTTTTCCCAAAAGGTTGCCCCATTTTATATTCTTTCAGCATCATAATTTCTCCACATCTTTACCAACAATTGTTTCTGTCTGTCTTTGAAAGTTATAGCCATATCGGTGAGTACAAAGTGGGACCTCACTGTGGTGCTGATCTTATTTCCCTAATAACTAATGTACATATTGACTCTTACATGTAAGAAAACATACTTGAGAATGCTTCTTTTCCATTTAGGTTTAAAGACCAATGTTTTCTAATTCATACTTCCACTTTAATTATAATTCTATAAAGTATTTTACTTTTATAAACATAAAAAATTAGCCAAATTCTTAAATACCATAAACTCAAGCAATTATAAGAAAAATAAAAGCTATTTCCCAGTGTTTTATTTTTACTATAAACTCTAATATACAGGAAAATAAACCAACATCAAAATATTATAAACTAACCTGTGTGTGGCAATTCAGCAAAGAACAGCATTTTATCATTCTTTTTATTACCTATAAGAACAATTTGGATTATTTAAAGAAACTAACATCAGTTGTAACAAATGTACCCGTTCTGATGTGGGATGTCAATAGCAGAGGAAGCTGTACATGAGTGGGGGGCTGTACATTTTTACAAAATTCCTCCCAACCACAGCAGAACACACATTTGCTTTTTAAAGTGCAGGTGGAACATCTACTAAGATATACAATAGCTGATACAAAGCAGATATATGAGAACTCTTCATTTTTGCTCAATTTTGCTGTGAACCTGAAACAGCTCTAAAAAATAGAACTTATTAATTTAAAAAATAGTTACTAAAAAATTTTTAAATCTTATTTCAAAAGCCATATATTGTAAGTATTGAGAAGTATAAGCATCATTATATTATGATACTAGTGGACTAAAACAGAGAAAAGAGCAATGCATATCAACAGAAAATCAACAAAATTCAAGATTTAGCACATAGAATCAATATGCCTTGAAGACTGACTGGACGTTTGTGGGAGGGTCAGTTAAGAAAAGAACTTGAAGGATGCGGGTTCAGCCTCCAGTGGGCACATACAAAAATCAGCCAATGAATGCACCAGTATGTGGAACAACAAATCCACGTTTCTCTCTCAAAAAAAATATTTTGCCACTTTAATAGAAAAATAGTATCTCATTGTTCCGATTTGCATTTGTTATTTCTAATGAAGTTTTCATATACTTATTGGTAATTTGTGGTTTTTTTGAGAAGTGCCAAACATTGTTGCCCAGCAGCCAAAAATATCAACTTGTTATCCTGCTTTTTTACTTTGATTTGAAAGAAATAAAGTCATTTAAACAATAGGGGGGGAAAAAGAAAGACCATGAGCCCTGGCCAGTGTGCTGAGTGCTCAGAGCATCGGCCTGTGCACTGAAGGGTTGCGGGTTCCATTTCCTGTCAAGGACACATACCTGGGTTGCAGGTTTGATCCCCGGGCCCAGTCAGGGTGCGAGCGGGAGGCAACTAATCCATGTGTCTCTCTCAAATTGATGTTTCTCTTCTCTCTTCTCTCCCCACTTCTCTCCCTCCCTCCTCCTCTTCACCCCACCCTCCCACTCTCTCTAAAAGTCAATGGAGAAAATACCCTCAGGTGAGGATTAACAAAACAAAAAAACAAAAAACATGATAATCAGGTTTTGGACTAAGTTCACTCAATTAAAGAAAAGTGTGAATTTTGGTGGGTTTTTTGGATGGGTGAGTCACTAGGAGGAGACCCCGGTAAAGTAAAAGGCTGAAATCATTTTTGGACAGGTTGAGTTTCAGGTTTTGGGGGAAATCAAAGCATCAATGGACTATGGGCCCTGGAAATATGAGAGCAATCTGATCGAAAGCAATCAATTTGGGAGTTATCACCACAATCTCGGAAATGAAAACTCACCCAAAAGGGGCACAAAAAGAACACTTCAAGGCAAACAAGAAGGAAAAAGTCAATGCAAACAATTTACCTGGTCCGTATAAACATCAGGGGGTACGGCCTTATTAAAGAAATCAGAACACACGGCTCCGGCCTGGAGGTAATAATGGAGAGCTGCCGAATACTGATTTGTTGCTGGAGGAGAAAACAGAGATAAGAATTACCTACTGATAGACTCGTGGGCTGAAAAGCAGGGCCTCTTTCAGAAGAGTCAGGTATCACTTCATGAGTTGACAAAAGCGGATTCAAACCATAGATCTAGAGATAACACTTATCCAGGACAATACTGAAAAAAATTGCCTTTATTTTTTTAAACTACTTTATTTTTTTAAATATGTTTTTATTGACTTCAGAGAAGGGAAGGGAGAAGGAGAGAGAAACATCAATGATGAGAGAATCACTGATTGGCTGGGGATCAAGCCTGCAACCCAGAGACTATACATATGACAATTATAGTTTTACTCTCTTAACTTTATCTAGGAAGAAGAGATACCTGTCAAAAACAAGACAAGTTTAATAAAGTATTGTAATAAAACATACTTATTTTCACTTCTAAAAGTACTACAAAAACGAAACACAAAGCAACCATACATCTCACTTACCAAAATAAATGTCTGCCTGAATAATTAACCAGGAGTGGTTGTTGGGGTTTATACTGCGGGCATAGCGAACTAGCTCTTTCACTGTGACTGACACCGCTTCAAAGTCCACTGACTGGAGGCTAAAGGAAAGACAATGAACATTAAGCTCCATTTTAAGAAACTTCAAATCCCATACTCACATTATTAAAAACAAAAAGACTTAGCCAAAATTTAGGTGACCATAAATATGCTAAATATTACTAGGAGTAAACATATAAAAACTATCAAAACATCTAAGTCTGAGAAAGTGTGATAAGCTAACTTTAAAAAAATAATAAAATATGTCATTACTGATTTGAGAGGAAGGGAGAGGGAGGGATAGAAACATCAATGATGAGAGTCATTGATCAGCTGCCTCCTACATGCCCCCTGCTGGGGATCGAGCCCGAAACCTGGGCATGTGCCCGGACTGAGAATCAAACCAGGATCTCCTGGATCCTAGGTCAATGCTTTACTGCTGGGCAGGCTAACTTTCTATAAGCAGTTGAAAACAATCTGATTTTTGTTTCCTTTTCTCCAAAATGCCAAAAAAGGTTGACTAGACCACCCTAAAAAAGTACCTTTAAATATTTTACAATATAAAGCATTTAAAAGAAGTAGTATAAATACCTAGCTCCACTTTTTAGGCACTATTTACCAGTAACAAATTAATCCTCACAATTCTGAGGGAGGTACTATTCACATACACATTTATAGATGCGGAAACTGACACTGGAAGCACTTACCCAAGGTCATATACCAGGTAAGTGGAGTGGCTAGGACTCCAGTCCTAAGAGTCTGGCTCAGAGCCTCTATGGTAAACCATTCTTTTTGTGCATTTATAATAAACACACACTGAAAATCAATCATTAGTTTACACTCTAAAATTAGGCCGAAGTAACACCAAAGAGGTGTGACAGCCATCAATTAAAAAGGCAAAACGATCTCTACTTGCTTCTTGAGTTGCTATCTAATAAACTGATGATATATAAAAATGTGCGGTGAGGAAAGCTGTGGAGTGTGCACATCTACTTCAGAAAGCATGGTGCTCCTTGGGAAACAAGCCTCAGTAAGTGGAGGGAGGGCACACTAACCCATTTCTGACCCTCCCATCTCCATATGAGATATAATACTGCTTCCAACCTCAGACTGAAATGGAAGCAAATTCCTCATCCTACTGGCTGCTTCCCTACCTACTGAAATCTCTTCTTCACAGATGCCACTAAGAGCAATGAAATAAGGCCTAGGACCTACCCTTCAGGCACAAGTAAGAGGACTGGAGGGAAGGAGAGAAGGAAAGGAGCTGTGTAAGGAGGCAAACACGGGCTCTCCTGAAGAGAAGCCACTGTGTGGGGGAAGAGAAAGATGTAAATGGTTCCTCTTCCAGAAAAACAATACTTTTCTCCCCCAAAACAGCCCATTATCTCCCTGTGATTCTCGGCGGAAGACAGTACGGGGGAAGATTTCTGCAAGTAATTAAAGAGCTTTGCAGGGCAACTAAAAGGGGTTGAAGCCTCTGATAATCACAGTGCTAGACGAGACGTACAAAGAATTACTTAAAGATTTTTTTTCAAATAGATACTTGTAAGAGATAAGATGCTGGAAATCTGACAGAAAGTCATTCTTTTAAGCCTTGATTTTCTAATAATTCTGCCCACTGACAAGTATCAGTATGACTCAGAGATCTTCTGGGCTACCTAGGGCTGGAGTACCTCAGTTATGCCTGACCCATCATTTTTAGAAAGACAATTCCTGTTATAGAGAAACACAAAGTTGGCTATAGAATCCTAACGCTGTACCCTTTAATCAAATTACTCAGAGTTATCTATACCAGTCAGGATGGCTCTAAATATATAAATGATTTAATAAGTTGTAAACTATAATCCTTCTTACTTGGGGATGGAGGATGGCCAAATAGAAATGTGTTCAGCTGTAATATCATTCACAATGTCTTCCTGTGTAAAAAAAAAGAAAAAGCATGATTTAAAAGAAAATCTATTTCAAATATTTTTTTTTAGATGAAATTATTAAATACTGACCCGAACATTGTGAAGTTTCACAAAGAGTGATAAAATAATAGTCAAAACCAATGGTTCCTATGAGAAAGAAAACACAAAATCCTTAAATATTATATATATTTTAATATTTCTCACATTAACCTCAAGGGTACCAAGTATTTTCTTCCAAAAGATTTTTACTCTTTGGAATTTACCATCTACTTTAGTTTAAAACACACTAAAGATCAACTTTAGCTTTAATGTCATGAAAGAAATCACGGCACACACAATTTACATAAAAATTAACCATATTTAGGTGTCTGGTTTATAATGCTCAAATCCTCACATGACTTCTGAAACCAAGGAAATAGCTATCATGCCACTAATACTTTCAGCTACCTTAAACAAATGAACTTTTATTCCTTAAAATAATTAAGGATGGAATCTAGGTTGTGTCCAGTAAATAAGCATGCCATTAATCCTATCAAACAGAAATTAAAGCCAGGCTTCACACATCTAGCCCTAATATGAAGACTTCTTTACAATTTAAAAAATACCTGTTTGTAGTCACTAGAACACAGTTAGGTAAATGTAAAATGAACTTTTCCATTCAGACTATCCTGTCCTCAACACTGAAGCACATTAATAGACCACCTAAATCATTTAAGCACTCATTATTTTTAGTCTAAAAAAAAAAATCAGTAATAGTAATTAGATTAACTTTTAAGAAAACATACCCGTAATTTTCTGATAAAAGAAAGCAGTTCACTCCTACAAAAAAATAAAACCAAAAAATTTTTGTACATACATTGAATATCAGAAATTAAAAATAAACTCAAGTAAATTATAAATGAAGATTTATTCCAAACTCTCCAGTTCTGCATGTATAAAAAAGTATAATATTCTACTGCCATACTAATGTAATAAAATATCTTTAGTACTATCCAACTGTTAAGACTTCACTGATTATATTAAATGATTGACAGTCTCTTGAAATAAACAAGTTATTTCCAAAGACGGTCATGTCAACCAAGTCCCTCAGATTATCAGCGCCAGAGAATTCTTACATTGTCCATCTTTATGACATATAAGGATAATGGCAGATGTTCTTGAAATAACATAAATAATAAATAACTCAAAATAGCATAAATAACAACTCAAAAAATAAACTGATCGAAACATACCGATACATTATACCTAGTGTAGATTCCCTCTGCTTTATTAAACTGACTCTGCCATCATTTCCTCGTTTGTGTTGACTGGACACACTACAGATCTGAACGACGACTTCCCAAAGGTCTTTGGCAGTCCGTCTACTTTCTTTAGGGCCCGGGAGTTCTTTGACTGTAGCCGCTAAAAGCTGTCCAAGCTGTAACATGAAAAACAAACAGAAAGTACACAGGAGATCATCTGTAACATGATGCATGGTAGGTCTATTATTAAGGCACACTTAAAGAAAACTGGGTAAGTGCTCAAGTACACCCAGCACAGTTATTTTATGCTGTGCCTTCTATCCAACAACTGAGAAATTTAGAGCTCAGTCTACTGACAGATCTGAGTCTGCTCAGGGAAGAGAATCCTCTGATTTTACCACATCATAAACCTAACTGTTTCTAAACAAGTGTAATGAGAACAAAGTGAGACGACACAAAGAGGAATGTGATTAAGTGGGAAAATAAGTTACCAGATATACATGGTATGATCCTGCTTTTCTTAAAAACAGTGTGTACAGGAATGTATACACCACGATGTTAACCGTGGGCCAGATCAGGGGGGACTCCAGGAAGCAGTGAGATAACCTACCCAGGGTTAGGCAACCTACAACACAACAGCCTGTGCCCTTGCACACTGCAGGCCCCAAGCACACGCCCGTCGCTCCTGGCACACGGCTCCAGAGTGCACCAGAGAGAGGCGCGGGGAGAAACACTACATGGACTGCCTTCGCACTGAGCAACAGGCCACAATTCTAACCGGAGATGATGCTCTTGGAACAAAATGGCTCTCTCATCTGAGAGTTTACTAAAGACTAAGAAGAGAAAGTTGGGAATAACCCTGGATATTAGGAACTAATATCTCAGAAAGTTCACTAGAAAAACAGATATAATCCAATATCTAAAATTCCAAAGAGGATGATTTCAGCATGAACAACTGTAAAGAGGACAAAAAGGAGGAAAAACGTAAGAAATCCATAAATGTTCAAAGGGTTGAAATGAAATGAGGTCGGTTTTTTAAAGGACATGAAATAAGAAGAAACAACCAAAGACAAAATTTAAAAAGTGGAACAGTCTTGAATGAGTCCCCAGACACCCACCCAGTAAGAGACTCTGTCTTGGAAATGAGGGAAGTGAGGGTCATGAGTAAGGACAACAGGTAACAGACAACACAGAGGCAGGAACCCCAGGGAGCGCTACATCGCTAAGGGTTGTTAACTCCAAGATCAGGACGGGAGAAGCCCGCTGCCTACGCAGGGTGAGCACGAGGGAGAGAGTCCTGGGGAAGCACCGAGACCCCTACTTCTGATGTTTCCTCGCCCGGAAGGAAGCCTTTTCAGTTGCACAGGGGACAGAATTAGGAAAGGAGAATACTGGGGGGGATGTGGAAGACGGCATGGAGCGTACAAATGGAAAAAGTAAAAATAAAATACAATAGAGATTAAATTAGGAAAAAAGAACAACCAACTTGTTGTCAACTGCGTGAACTCTCTCACGTGGGTCTGACCACTGACAACAAACATGTACGCTAATGACCACCAGGCACATCAAACCTAGAGAAGTAAACAGACTCTAAAGGAAGGTAAGGCCCACCCTGGCTGGGGCTCAGCTGGGTGTTATCCCGCGCACCCAAAGGCTGCAGGTTCCATTCCTGGGTAGGGCACACCTAGGCTGCAGGTTTGATCCTGTCAGGGAGTGCACAGGAAGCAACTAAACATTGTTCCTCTCACATCAAAGTTTCTCTCTCCCCCCCCTCCATTCCCTTTCTCTCTCTAAAATCAATAAAAACATATACTCAGGTAAGGATTTAAAAAAACAGAAAGGGTAAGGTGCTCAAATGAAAAATGGGTGGAAGCTCACCCCTTACGGCTCCACTAGTTTATACCCACGCATACCTGTGCATTCCAGAGCTTAAAACTACAGTTTGACTTTATCATTCAAAGCAATAAAAGCCGACTCACCTCTCATTAGTCAGGGATTATACCAAAATTTTATCTGTTAACTACATAATTTTGGCTTGCATTCTCACTGAACTACACGGAATTAGAAGAAAATACTAGAGAAGGCAAACTCAAGTGCCTGAATTATCAAAAACGATACTTTTAACTATAAACCAGCAAGATCTAAACACACAGATACAAGTCATTCCATCCTAATGACTTTACTTAGATGAAGCATGACTTACCTTCACGTATGGATTATTCTGAAGCAGAAAGGCAGGAACCTGAAGTGTAAGGTATTCATTTTCCTTCCAGTTTAACATAAAAGCCACACACTCCTCAGCAATAACCTGACGAAGAGGAATGTCTAAAATGCAAAGAAAACAGCTGGAATTACCACCATAACATGAAAATGAGACCAAAGCAACATTCGCTCAGATTTCAGTTAAACATATTAAAAACAAGTTACCGATGAAAAACAGAAAAATACTAACATTTTATACTTTTCTCTAGAAAGCTTAAGATTTCTCAACAACAGACTGCCATGGTCCCCACTATTAATCAAAAAAAGTATGCACTTAAGGACACCTCAGCTGCCCAACACACTAACTGTGGGAATTTACATTTCAAATGAGCAACAGAGAATAAATACACAAATGAAACAAGTACAAAACGGTAGGGCACAAACTTTTAGAGAATGGAACTAGTTAAACCACGTAATGAAACTGAAACTGTAACAAATCTGAGTTAATGTATCATTTTTAATATTTTTTTCTGATTAAAATATAATAAATATTCCTGAGACAAGTCATTCACTCTTTCAAAAATTACTGTAGCAGAGATAATTTTTTTGAACATTTCCTTTAAAAATTATTAAATATACCTTAATATTAAATATGCTGTAAATTTTTATAGCTCAAAGTATGTAATAATCAGGTTTCAATGTGCTGCAGAAAAAAGACACCCCGATGAATGCTAAAAAACAATGTTAAGACTTTAAATGGAAAGAGCTATTAAACTTATGTAATCGTATTTTTCAGTCTTTCTAAAAAGATTGTGTCTGTGGCTATTTGTTTATGTCTCATCTTACTCCCAAAAAGGATCTGAGACAACAGAAGGAAGCACGGGAACGCAGCAAAAAAAAAAAAATACATTATCTGCATTATCTTCTAAAAAAAGGAATGAAGACAGAAGTGAAATTAATGTCCCAAGTGCATGCATGTCACTGAGTGCTGCACAGTTTGCCCAAGGAAGGCTACACAGCAACTGGCTCCAGTATTTCATTTATTTAGCAGGCACTCCCCATCAGGAACATGGTAGTGGCCTTAAAGATGAATCAGAACCAAGAGTGGGGTCCCGATACAACCTAAGAGGCAGTAATCTGGAGATTAAACTTCCCTTTAAGCACCTACAATACAATTACTCATTATCGAAAAGTACAGAGTCAGCCCCAGCCGGGTGTGGCTCAGAGGCTGAGCATCAACCTAGGTTCCAGGAGATTGCAGTTCGATTCCTGGTCAGGGCACATCCCCAGCTGCAGGCTCGATCCCCAGTCGGGGGAGTGCAGGAGGCAGCCGATCAATGACTATCTCATCATTGATGTTTCTATCTCTCTCCCCCTCTCCCTTCTTCTCTCTGAAATCAATAAAGATTAAAAGAAAAAAAAGTATAGTCATATGCTGTAACAGGGAGCTAGAGTAAGCCTGACATTCAATTTTGTTGAAGCCCAAGGAACATAACAAGGACACACGTTTCAACAGAAAGCTACCATTTAATACAAAGGTATTATAAGCTGGAGGATCTCTCCCAAAAGAGATACTAGAATAATTAATCTGTAGCTCTTACTTCTATTATAACTGAAAAGCTGGATCTGCTGTCAATTAAGATCACTTCTTTCCTGATAGAAAAGCCAGGTCAACCCATGTAAAAGAAAACTTCTCTGTCCATGTTCCACAGAGGGCATGCATCTAACTCATTCAAAATTGGCCCAATATCACCAGAGAACAGTTTTCCTTAAAAAGGGAGGGATGAGGAGTTCTGGAGAAGCAGGAGTGGCCAGGCAGCCCCAACTTTGCAAAGGTGCTCAGTAAGTGCTGTGGCCAGTAGGCACCTGGCACATGATAGCCCCATTGCCAAGATGCCCAAGAGGAAGGCCAGCTCCTCTGAGGGAGCTGTGAAGGAGGAGCCCAAGAGGAGATGGGCAAGGTTGTTGGCTAAACCTACTCCTGCAAAAGCAGAATCAAAGTAAAACACGGCAGGAAAAGATAAATCTTCAAACAAAAAAGTGCAAAAAAATGGAAGGAGGGAAAGGTGGCAAAAGATACCATTTTACACCCAATTCTAACCCATGGAAAGACCACCCTACCAACTGCACCACTCCCAGGGGTACTGGAGCAGAGCTGCAAGAGCATCAAGCATCAGAGCCAGGAGTCTATAAACCAGGTGACTCAGTCTGCAATTGAGGCTCAAAGACAAAATCAAAGACAAGGAACTGTGCCTGTGGGGGAAAAATTGTTTTCTTTTTCCTCCTAACAATACAGTACATCCTTTCCTCCTCGTTTTAAACTGTTTATAGCACAAGCTATGGGCGCATAGCTAAACAGGTGGCTAGGAACTTACACAAATTATGTGCAGAGTGATGACTCTGAGACAAAAAGCAGAAAGTGGAAAAAGTGATACGAACTCCAAACTACTTACGTGCCTTAAGGTACAATTAAGTGCCAAATAAACTATCATTATTTAAAGGCACTTCCAGCCATTTCAAAGAGTAAGAGCACAGGCTTAAGTTGGACTGATGGAGTCAGTCGCAGCCTGTCTCCTGCTGCAGGACTCGGGCTCAACTCCATATCCTTTCCACACCTCGGCTTCCTGACCTACAAAGTGGGGATGATTAAGTAGCGACTTCACAGTGCTGCCATGAGGACTAAGAGTTAGTTATGCACTGAAAGCTCTTAGAACACTACCTAATGTATATTTCGCCCTCAATAAATGTGAGGGTTTTTCAATCTTTTTGCTTTTACTTTTAGAGAAATCATGCAGAAAAATCAACCTTCTACTTTAAAAAAACCCTCACACACAGAGAAGCATATGTCAGCCAGCAGTTGGTGCCAGCAACTAGATTCATTTTTGTGACACTGAAGGGCACTGGTACATTAAAGCTCAAAGGTATCCTATCTAGGGTGCTAGAAAGTTGTAATTTCTGTAGAAATCAGAATGTAGTAACAATTAAATTCATTCAAAAGACCCTGAGGCCAGCAGGGTCCTTTCTGTTTGTGCACATAATTAGCACCTTCCTTTACACTTAATTTTACTGTTTGCAACATTAAATGTGCACAGGATGATTTAACTGCTCTAAAGACTCTAGTACTAAAACACGTAAAATTAAGAAACTGCTTTAACTAAGCAAGATCTATATACAACATAGGTTAACATTGGTATGATAAGCTCCTTTTTGTGGTATATCTACATTTAGAACTAAACAAACCAGGGCTGCTCCTAAAGCAACCACAGCGAGCCCCTGACTCACTGTGGTCACTCTGAGGGCTTCCTGTGGTGGTGATGGGGAAATAAACCGCGGGATGCACCTTTAAGGACACTGATCACTTTAACAGAGCACCTTCAAATTGCAACCCAGGTGCTGTAGTGTTCCTTCAAGCTCATGTCCATCTGAAACCTCAGGATGTGACCTGACATAGAAATAGAAGTATTTAGCCAAGATGAGGTCATACTGAGTTAGGGCAATCCCTAAAGCCAATGACTGGTCCCTTATAAGAAGAGAGGGGGCACAGGCGCACATGGGCACATGAGAACGCCCAGTAAAGGAGGAGGGAAAACGGAGGGAAGTAAAAAAAGAGGCAAAGACTGGAGTGATACAGCTACAAGCTAAGAGACAAGGAAGGATTCTTCTCTAGAACCTCCAGAAGAAGCATGGCCCTGTAGGCAGACACCTTGATTTCAGACACCTAGTCTCCAAACTAAGAATAAATTCCTGTAGCTTTCAATCATCTAGTTTGTGGTACTCTGTTATAGCAATCTCAGGAAATGACTAGTTTCCTACTACATTTTCCCCAATGTTCTCAAGTGAAGTCCACATCTAAACTATTTTCGGAGAGAAATAATTTTTTCAGAGATAGCAAAAAGTCAAATAAACGTTCTAGACTTTCCCCATAATTACTTGAGTAATGAGTTTCTGAAGTGTAGCTTTGGGAAACAGTCTTACCGGGCAGCCTCATTTCCAGATATCCCCGCACCCGACTAATAAGATCAGAAGGAGGTCTCTCTCCTGACTGCCCTGTTCCAGCCTCATGGGTATAAATATCCAAAAGCAGCATCTCATTCAGCATGACCTGACGAAGTTTTGGTGAGAACTCTGTTACCAACTCCAAACAGGCAGCAAATAACTGCTTAGCATGGGAAAAGTCCTATAAAAAGAAATAACAGAATAGCCTGAATCACCTTTCCTCTTGAACCAAAAATATGTAACTTTATGAGTACAGAGCAAAGAGAAAGATTAATTTAAATGATTAACACTGATGAGATAAATACGTGAGTAAAAAAAGAGATATACTATGTTCATGGATTAAAAGACTCAATATTGTTAAGGTATCAATTGTTCCCAAATTGACTTATAGAGTCATTGCACTCTGAATGAAAATTGCAGTAGGCTTTTTTTTTTTAATAGACATTGAAAAGATAATTCTAAAACTTACATGAAAAAGCAAAGGACCTAGAATAGCCAAAATGATTTTCAAATATAGCAGGTCCTCAACTAAAGTCTTTTTTCTTTTTGTTATAATGTTGGTAAGAAAAAAAATTGATTCCTGGCCAGGGCCACCTTGTGTGGAGTTTGCATGCTCCCCTTCGTGTCTGTGTGGGCTTTCTCCAGTACTTGGTTTCCTCCCATGTTCCAAAGATGTCAATGTTAGGTTCACTGGCAGGTCTAAACTGTCCCAGTCTGAGTGTGTAGGTAGGTGGGTGTCAGTACATCCTGTGAAGAAAGGGCATCCTGTCCAGATTTGGTTCCAGCCTTATGCCCTGAGCTGTCAAGCTGAACTGGAATAAGCAGGTTTGAAAATAATTCTTACTTGTTTTTATTGATCTTAATTAAATGTATATATAGTTCACATTTATTTCAGTGTTTAATATTAAAAGAGTTTTGGGTCTCTATTTAGAAATTTGGTGATTTTTTGTGAGCAGAAATATGATGTAGGAACTTAACTCTTGTTTATATCACTTAGCCTACGGTAAAACTGGTTTTGTTATAGGTCATTTCACTTAAAATCAGTTTCTGAGAACCTACTGACACATTGAGGTCTTTCTGTACAACAAAACCAGAGGACCTACCCTGGTTTCAAAACTTACTATAAAGCTAGAGTATGCCTACATCATATTTCTG